GGAGGATCCAAAGGTGGGAAAAAGAGGGGTTTAGGTGATTTGGGGAGGAAAACAGATGGGTAAGGGGGTAAAAAGGGCTGATTCTGTGTAGATAGGTGGCTGGTCCATACACTTGTCTGGTCATGCCCTGTGCCTGACCAGTACAGTCTGTCCTATTGCCTTATTAAATTCCTTTCCTTAAATTCAAGACGGTGAGTCGGAGGGCCCATGTGTCCGTGGTGCCGGCAGCTGGCACGAGCGTGGGAGCGGGTGTGCAAGCAAAGACCAGGCCAGATGAGCTGGCAAAGAGGTGAAGTGGCCAGAGAGCCTGGGGGTGAGCCCGGCTGCATGCCAGCATTGGGACTGCATTATTTCATTATCAGGCCCTTAATGACACATTTTCTGCATGAAGTATCACTGGCAGGATGGCATCAGCTTGTAGTAACTCCCTGAAAGGTCAGAGGACAATGAATATCCTCTCCAGAGATTTCCTTGGGGTTTTCAAATTGTCTTGTCTATAGTCTCCTTGTACCTGATGAGATCCCCAAAGGGAGCAGAGGTGGGATGTACCGAGCAAGCCCTGTGTCTTGTGTACAGTTTCTGGGGATAAAAAAAAAAAGCTCTGTGTGTGTCTGTGTGTATGCGTATCTGGATTCTTCCCACCAGCCATAACACCGCTGGAGCGTGGCTACGTACAGCTGAGGCAGGATCCCCCGCAGCACCAAACCAGCTCCCTGCTTCAACCCAAATCATTGCACAAGCCTAGAAATTTTGGACTCTGCATGGTGGCCAGGAACAGGTCTGCCCTCCTGTGAGGGCATGGCTGTCCGGGGTGCGGTGCCTGAGCCTTAGGGGGGGCTGAGCTCCCAGCACCCAGCTTGTGCTTGAGCCTGATTGGGATCTTGATGGTCCTTCACACTATCCTCAAGTCCCAATGGACCAATGGTGTTCCAAGAAGATGCCTATGGAAAGTGCCACCCCCCTCCGAATATACACCCCATTTTTCTGCAAAAGCCCAAGGAGGCTATAAGGAATGGGATGGGAGTGACAGGAAGGGGCTAGAAAACCAAAGTGGGGCGTGAGAAAACAACCTCAATCTCTTACAGGCTACAAGCACTGCGACCTTATGAGCCCTCAAACATCTGTTTTATCCACTGGATCCAATGCAGGATAATCCTTTTCTCTACAAGCTCTGCTTTGCTTTTGTCCTGCAATAATGAAGGCTCTGGCAACATCAGTCCTTACAGAAGTTAACTAACTCACACCCTTATCTGTGCAGGGGACAGTGGATTGATTTTAATGCTGAAGCTAACCTTGGACTTTGGAGATTATGCATGACTGAGGAATGAAACTCAAACTTTTTCACGTGTCCCCACACATTAAAGCCAGATTCTGCTTTGTTCTGCAAAGGACAGGATTATGTTGTAACTTCATGTTGAGGGCAAACTATCCCATATTGCCAGACTGGGGATTAGCCCAGACTTTGTGGTGGTGAAAATTCAGGCAGAAACTGTCAAGCAGCTGTGGCAGAGCCAAGGAAAAGAAAAACTACCTGTAACTGCACAAGGCTTAACTGTGACAATTAATATTCCCATTAACAAATCTAGCACCTTTTCATGACTTCCACATTTCCTCTACAGCTCTGACCTCTTTTTTGTCACCCATGGGTTCTTTTCTTTGCTCTGCTACCAAGAGTTAAGCTGGAGCTCTTCCCACGTTCTGGCGAATGGTTTGATCTTTGCAAACCCCAAACCATGCCCAGGGATGCCTTGTGACAGTTGGGCAGGTGAGACCCATAGTGACATCCTGGCCAAGTGATGTCCTCACTCCAGGGCTCTAGCAAGAGGATTTTTTGTGTGGATCATTTGCGTGAAGGTTGTTCACTGCTAATGCACAGCCTATAGTTGCGGTTATCACTTGTGGGGATCCCAGGTCAGAGCTGAGGGGTGAGGGATGGGTGCTGCACAAACGTGGACTGGGCTTGGGAAAGGGATATAAAAATAATGACAATGATAATGATTCAGCAGAAAAATCTGGCTTTACTTCCTTGTCAGAATGGTTTATTTAAACAAACAGTATTGAGCCTGTAAAAGACTTCAGACATGCTCAAGTGCATGCAGTTGTGAGAAGCAAAAAAAAAAAAAAATCACTTCATTTGAGTCATATACGGAAGAGTGTGGCAGCTCCAAAAGAGTTAATTTGCAACTAAATGTTATCCTTAGACGAGCTGTCCCCTGGCACTGAGCTTTCCGTCCCAAAGTGTACCAGCAAGAGTAAAGAACTAGCCTGTGCCAACAGAAACCTTATCGGATTTGTAAAAGAAGCTAAACTGGAAGGAATCCAGGGTCTTGAAAAGTTTGTTGCGGGGCAGACCTTATCACAGTGTCTGCCTCGTGTAACTCCTCTGTGCCTCAAGAGAACTGAGCGTGGAGTCTGGCCCTAAAACCTTGGTTTTCTCTTCTGTAGTGTGTAGTGAAGACAATACTACTTTGACGTTCCAAGCTTGACAGACTGTTGAGCCAGTGTCTGCTCTCCACAGCACAGTGAAAGCTCCTCTGCTCTCAGTTACAATTCCTGCTCTGCACACTGTGCAAGGAAGGAGTCATGATGCTGCACGCTTCAGGTTTGGAACAATATGGGTTAAATGTTGGAAAATACCACCCCTGGTTAAACAGCATCACTTCTAGTCTTAAACTGTAATGCATTAGGAACTGTTTTCCTGTTCTCGTTCCTCTAAACACAGCCAGGTACGGCTCTGAGAAAGCCTCCGCTTACTGCTGCTTGTAAGGAAAATTGCAGAAACTCAGCAGCACCAATAGATACATCATTCACTTAGAGAAACTCAAAGGAACACTGAGGTTATAAGTACAAAGCCATGACACAGCTAACACCATCCATTGCCAAGGAAAGCAGATTTTGAATCAGAAAGAGGAACATGAAAGTTCAGGATTTTTTTAAGAATTTTAAAACTCACAGCATTTGCCAGTGATGCTGCTGCCGTCACACATCTCCTGGTAGATGTGCCTGTGCGCTCCCCAGAGGAGAGCAGCCCGACTTCAGAGTGGCAAAGTCTCTTAGTGGTACAACATCGGCACGTAACGAGGTCATGGTCACTATTGCGTTTGCTGCCTTTACTGTCTGGTGACCAAGTGATTCCCACGAGTCACAGCATATGCAGAAGTACCCTGTGGCAGGCAGGACGCACCAATACAAACGCAGTGAAGCCAGGCAGAATGGGGGAGCATTTTTTGATGGGGAGCAAAGCAAGGTTGCAGTGAACCACTCGCACCACTGCTGGACAGCTTGGGTGTGCTCAGAAAAGGCTTTTCTGTAGAGGCCTGGTTTAGCCCCGCTTGTGGGAAAAGCCGTACAACTAAGTGCTCCATGTGCCAGAATCCTGGTCCTAGGGGAACACCTTTCCCAGAGATGCCCATACACCAAGTCGCAGCTTCAGCCTCTCAAGGGTTGTTTCTGTATGTTTGTTCTTTAACGTATTTTTAAGAAAATTGATGCAGGTACAGTCAGACAGGTGAGGAGTTACTGTAAGACCCTATAGGATGGGTAACTGTCAGCTAGGTTTAATGGGAGTCTTCAAAAACATGCTGCAAAAAACAAGTTTTGTGGTGTTTTCAAACCTTGAAACCTTTGAGGAGCTTGGTCAGCTCTGCAGACATGACAGTGCGGGTGCCCATGGAGAGCTGGTGACCCTCAGTGGAGCCACACAGCTCATTGAGCAGTTGCCTGGACTCTTAAGAGAGAAGGAGCCAGGCTGCCCACACAGAGCCACATATGGAGGGTCAACTGGGGCTCCAAGGAGAACAGTAGCTCTTGTCAAAGCTAAGCAAGCCATGGCCTCTTGCAGGAGTAGGATGTGCAATTTATCAGTTACTGGAAAACCCCGTTGCTGTTACCCTCCCCATGCACACCTTGTGCTACAGAGTCAAGCTACAAGGCTGCTTTCACAGAGACTGTCTCTGCTTGTTTCTTGTGACTTGGGCAGGAAAGAGTTTCCTCACAGAGCATGAAGAGCCTTGGTTAAAATCTCCTCTGTGGTACCACTGTCACACACATAACACACACCTCCTTCCTTTGCAGCATTTTGTTGCTCCACAGCTAGAAGAGCCCTTCTCTAGCCCCGTGCTTAATCTCAGGTCGGGCTCATGGGGATGGTGGAGAGATTGGCCAGGTAAGCAACATGCTGAGCCTGCCTGCCGATGGATGCTAGCAGAGTCCCACCACTCCAGCCTTGTGTCTGGCACTTGGCAAAGACATAGGATCACAAGACAAGTCAGGTTGGGAGGGACCTCAGGAGGTCTCTGGACCAACCTTCTGCTCAAAGCAAGGTCAGCTATCAGCTCAGGCCAGGCTTTATCTAGTTGGACCTTTACCTAGTCAGCTATTAGGCTCAGGCTCGGCTTTATCTAGTTGGACCTCTACATCCAAAGCCTGAAGATACATTGCTGTCTAATATCAGCCCCCAAAAAGTGCTTCACTCTTCCCTATTTTCCCTTCATAACTGGTCATTGAATTCTTTTGGATAGGAGGCAGGTGAGAAATCCACCAGTCACTCAGACCTTGCTGCAGTGGCCACCGTGGGATAAGTAGTGCAGTTACATCTGAAAGCGTGTCTGGTTATCACGTCCTGGGGCCAGGGGCAGAAGTCAGTGCCCAGCATTTGCATGCATGGAGTCTTTCTGACCTCAGGGTAGGATTTGCAAAGCTGCTTGGGGCTGGTAGCTAGTCCCATTCGGAAATCTTTCCTGGGAGCATGCAGCCAAGTGACACACGTACTGTCAAGTTACCGTTGGTCAGCTGAGCCATGTTAACAGTCTATATTTCTGTTCTTACCTTGTGGCAACGCACATATGCGGATTAATTTGCTCAGTTATGCTAAATCGCGCTCACAGAGAGCAGTTACCCCAGCTCAGCTGATGCACAGCAACTTGGCGGGACTATTTGGTACCAAACACTAAGTGCAGAAAGGGAGAGGGAGACAATTCATGACTGTCGCCGCATCCACGTCACTGTGCAATCATGAGGCCATACTTGGAGCACAGCAGGCCCCTTTTCTTTTCCCGTTCAGTGAGGAAATTCCTCAGTTTGGTGGTGGGGAAGGTAACCAGTGCTTGCTGCCTGTTGTCCAAACCTGTCTCCTGGAGCCATGGGCTCTGGAGGCACTCCGAGGCTGATGGCCTTCCCCTAGAGCAGACAAAGGTGAGAAGGTCAGTCAGGGATCGTGCTGGGTGAGGAGGCTCCTTGCAAATGGAGGGAAAGAAGGGACAGTAGCCAGGATCTGCACCAACTGTGCTGTTGGGAGAGCAGACACCATCTTACCAAGGGTTTGCACACAGCGTGCTCTGGAGAAAGGACACCGCTCCGCCGGAGAGACCTGCGTAGCACTGCGTGAGCTTCACTTTACCCTTCCTGGTCGTTCTCAGAAACTCGCAGGCTATGTCGGAGCTGATGGGGTAGTTGGCACTCAACCTGCCCCAAAAGAAGAGAATTGATCAGCATGAAGGGCATCGCCTAGGATGCTCCTTCTCCCAGGAATTTCCACCCAGCAGTGAGAGGAGGGTCACAGTGATGCACGGAAATATCATATGGGAAAACAAAACCTTAAAGGCCACTGTTCTTCAGTGGGTTTCATGACTTTGGCTGCTTTTCCACTTGGCGTAATGTGGATTTTCTTGGTAAAGTTGGGGCTCTTCAGACAAGGCTGAGTGAGAAATACCAGCAGCTGCTGCGTTGTAAAACAGCCTCCTTACTCTATGCGGAGGCATCGCTGGGGCTGGGCATCCTTGCATGGTGCCGCCAGCTCCATACCCTCCATCACACAGCCTTCTGTGGCATTGCCAAGGAGAAGGGGCACAACTGAGGTTAACCCTCTGAGTCAATGCGTCTCCCCTGGTTGATGACTCTGAAATTGCACTTTTAAAGTTGCTCTTAGGGCAGGGAAGGACAGATTGACTTACATGATGAAGGCTGTGATTCCGACGGACCAGATATCGGTCTGCGGGACGGCTCCTTGCTCTGTCAGCAGTTCTGGAGCTAGAAAAGCAAACTGGTGTGAGCCAAGCTCCCCTCCAATGCACTGAGACCAGCACAAAAGTAGTGGGTACCTTTATGCTTTGCTACCTTCCCAAGAGTGAAGAAGAAAAAGTACAGGGAGCTGGTTGAGGTAAGACACCCTCGTGGGTGATGACTTCAATGAAACCTTGAGAACATCAGGCCAAATGTCAGTAATACTCTACCCCTGAGCTCTGGACACATGGAAGCCAGCCAGAGAGGTGTTGGCTGTGACCTCTGGCTCTCTCCTCTGTGGTCTGCAAGTGGGACGGCTGTCACCACTAGCTGCTCCCGCAAACTCACACTGTTAGTGGAGGGCAGCACCTGGGAGACTTTGCTTGCTGGGGCCAGTTGCTGCCTTCACCAATGCCTGTGTCTGTCTTTCTGTTTACCAGAGATTTCATATAAGGCCAGGGTTGCTGTGACTGAACTCCGTACTCACCCATGGTTTCAACATAGTCCATGCACTTGTCCATGGTAATAACTTTGTCTTGTGTGTAGAACTGTGCATTACCAAAATCCAGGAGTTTCAGCAGGTTGGGCTCAGTGATGATCATGTTTTCAGACCTGAGATCCAAGTGCAGGATGTTGTGTGCATGGAGGTACTCGATGGCACTGAGGATCTGCCACAGGTAATCTCGGACCTCCACTTCTGAGTACGATGTCCTGGTAGAAGAAAGGGAATAGAAACCAGGGGTGTCCTATCCGCATGCCCAAGAGTGCCGTTCTACACCCACTATCATCCTCCCCTGGATGTCTAATCCCATGAGACCCTTGGGAGTCAAGAAGAAACAACTCCATTCATTTAGCACATCTATTGTATATGGAGAAGCTGGTCCATACTGTGAGTCAGGTTTACAGATGCAAAAAATTCAGGAGGTTGTAAAGCTGCATGTCAGAGCAAGCAGTGGTTGTGCAGAAATCAAACCGCAGATTTGATGTCTACCATTCCCTCTCCTTTAATCAGAGGATTTCAACAGATCCATTTTCTGCCATTGTGAGAAACAATGTGGAGGAGAAATGAGGCTTCTGGAGCCACAGTAATCTCCGTGTTATGGGAGAGGGGTTTTCATACCAACTACTGTAAACTGCTTCCAGCATCTCAGCTGGGTGGCCCTGAATCGTCCCCTACCCCAACCTTGTAAGGAACTTGTGATTTTTTTATGTCACAAGAAGTTGCAGAACAAATGCATCACAAACCCCGTGTGCAGTGACAGCACACTGGAGAAAACCCTTCCCTCCACTTGTTATTACCGTAATGCCAAAGAGTGGAGTAGCTCTGGTCCCACACACATCTCCTGGATCAACACTAAGTGCCGTGGGCTGACGTAGGCTCCCTTCAGCTGAGCTATGTTTGTGTGATGAAGCTTCCTCAGCACTTGGTACTCCAGGAGCACTGTTTGCTTGTCCTCTTGCCAGTAAGGGATAATTTTAGCAGCTAAAGTCTTGCCGCTTACTTTTTCCCTGCACTGTCGGACGATGCTGAAACGGCCCCTGATGCGAAGGAACAAAAAGGCGATTTAAGCTTCTCTGCTGCTCCTGGAAGAGCCAGGAGCTTCTGTTCTTTAAAACCACCAGGATCCCACGCTGTGTTTTTCATCCATGCCCTATGTGGAGTTATTGCATCTGTTGTCACAGTTTGCACATCTTCCTGTGTCTCTAAATTGTACACTTTAAATGGCAGGAGTGAGAGCTTAACTCCTTTGGAGAGAGACAAAGTCGCTCATCCAGCCTCAAACAAGAGGACTACTCCCTGTTGGCAACAGAAGTTGGTGCCTATCTCCTAGGCAGAGAAAATTGAATCCCAGCCCCATGTCTGAAACCGGTAGCTGCAAAGGTTGATGCAGCAAGGAGAGGAGCCTTTGTTAGCCCTGGGCTCACTTTACGATATACTAAGGGGCTGTCCTGCTGCCCAGCACGTCGTGCTCAGAACAGACTCTTTTGCTCTCCCCAAAAATCCACACCTGAACCAAGATGAAGATCGGTCAGCCAATGATCTCAGGTTTATATGTATTGCTGTGGGGGTGTTTTCAACAAAACACCGTGACACTAGGTGAGCAGCGCATTTCTGAAAGTGACTTCTCTAACTCCAGCCACATTCCCTCTGGCTGGTTGAATGCTCGGTTGGATTCGCTACCTTTTGATCTCTGTTTGGAAGGCGTAGGTCTGGTAGGTTGGGAAAGGCTCCGATGGTGTGATTATTTCACTCTCTTCTTCAGCAGCAGCTGATGGGAAGTTCTGCGTTGCATCACGAAGCCCTGCAGAGAAGAAGCGACAGGGATTATGTGGGAAAACACCTCTGTCTGGAAACTGGAGCCTCTCTGAGCCACGCTCCGCCAGCTATGAACAACGACAAGGGTGACAGCAGAGCTTTCTCCAGGCGAGTCTGCAGGTTGTCTCCCAGCTGTGGCACCCAATGTTATTTGAATGGAACTGATTCTGGACTGTCCACACTGTAATTCCCTGGTGTGACCACTCCAGACTATATGAGATGGATTGTATGTTGTGTGCTGCGATATCAAACATCTTAGCCACTGGTTCTCATCCTCTCACATAACAAGTCATCAGGGCACGGTAAGACACTGACGAAGAATTAGAAACTTATTTTACTTGGATATTTCAGGGCAGCAGCTGAAACTTGTTCCTCTGGTTCTGGTTCAGTGTGCATGTGGTTTTGTCTGAGTGCTCCCATTACAACATCCCTTGACACATTAAAGCATCTGCTTGGAAATGCTGGGGACATTGAGATATGTTAATGAATCCTGGGCCAAGAAAAAGCAGAAGATTTAGGGTGAGTTAAAAATATCTCTGTGAACTGATTTTTACAGACTAATCCTCTCCATTGGGAGGAAATTCCAGTTAGACCATCCTTCTACTTCTTGGCAGAAAGGATACTTCCTTTGCTATAAGGATATATTTGCTGTGAGGTTATGGATTTCTTAATTTTAAAAACGTGTGAATTGTACAAAGTATTCAAGCAGGTGAAAAAAATAGTAAATCAAGCTGTCTTTACTTCAGAGACAAAATACAGCTGAAAAATGCACCACAGTAGGGCTTTCACCAGTGGCAGATCTATACCAAGAGATCAATGCCTCCAGTAACACAGCCATTGTCCCAGACCTGTTCCCTCATGATCTCACATCATAAAATGAGTATGTATGTCTTCAGTGGGTAATCTACAGTTTCCAGCTTTTTATTATATATACTTTTGTGTATATATTTACATATTATTTATAGATTGTTATTACTTTATTATTTATCTTTTATATATTTACACAATTCCCCTAACTGTGTCCAGAATTAGAAAATAATTTACTTTTAAATAAGGAAGCCAAAGAGGGGGAAGCCCTAAACCACCCTGAGCCAACTGGAATTGGTCTCGATTCACTTGCTCTTGACTTCTGGACCCGCGTCCAAAAAGGTGCAATTGTTTTGATGCAGGAAAAACACAATGGTCTCTCGGCATTTGATCTTACCTATTTGATCCTTCCCAGTGATTTTGACTTTGGCAGATGGGTCGCTGTAAGGGCCCATTCCTGAAGGCTATCCTGAAGCAGTAGATAAACCCCTTGGCGAGATTTTTGGCATAGTAGCCGCAGTCAGCGATGTCAGAAGCAAGAGTTGTCCACTCCCCATCTTAGCCGAGGAAAGACAGAAAAGAGATTAGGACTCATTTCAGATGGTCACATCGTGGTGGGGGGTTGAGTTTTGGAGTTTTATTAGGGGTTTTTTTCATCAACTTTAGTTACGTGCTGGGAATATGGAGAAACAGTGGAATCTCGTAGAGTGAAGGAAAAACTGACTTGTTATGGCCAGCTTTTGTGCATGGTGCCGCTCGCTGTACATGTGCCAAACTCACCTTTTCTGAAATCTGGTTTGTATGTCATCAGTCCAATGTGTGGCAATATTGTTTCAGAGGAATGGTGAAACTTTCTTGTATAGTTTCTGTTTATCTAATTTGTACCACAAAACTCTAATGCAAGTATACATCAAGAACTCCAGATAAAACCCTGGCAAAATCACTGGGTTTTTTCCCTGTGGCCCTATCTTGAATCCAATCCATCCACTAACACCCTCCTAGGAAACCCAGTGTTTGAAACTGGCACGTTTACTCAGTTTTTATGAAACTCAGATGATTTCTTGGGGAACTGAAATTGTAGATATGTTCTGGACTCATTATTCATGGGGCTAAGGTGTGAAGTAGAAAATGACCAGCAAACATTTAATGGTCATTCATTTCACATGATGCTGTGTCTCATACTTTGCCATTGCAGCTGTGCTCAAGGCTGAACTCAGCTCCCTGAGACTGCCTGAGATTAAACCCATCCTTTCATTCAAATAGACACTGGTAGAGAGCCTCAAACCCTCAAACCATAGGACAAGCAACCAAAACAAAGGTATCAATGATTTTGCAGGGTACTGGTTGATTTAGGGTGTGTGTATGTGTAAGAAGGAGCAGATACAGCTTAGAAACAGAGAAAAGTGTCTGCAGAAGCAATGTGCAAAAGCTTACTGTGAAATAATGGATAAAACATTGATTTTTTTCTGATTATCTCAATCCTCCTGTGTTCAGGAAAGCAGGACTTTGCATGTTTCTGCCAAATACACAGAATGCAATGGAAGATTGTAGATGCTGTTTCCTGTTTTTCTTCCCGATTGGAACAACTTGCATTTGTATCCTCCCCAAAGTCTCGCCTACAGTTGTGTCAAACGGAATAACAATAAAGCAAGCTGTGCTGGAGGAAAAGTGACTGACACCAGCTCCAGAGTGAAAAGACAGAAAGCTGCTGCCTGCGCTCATGATAATCCAGAAAGAAGTGCGTGGAGAATTAAAAGAAGGAACATGGAGCAGTTGGATCCAAAGGGCTGTGTACGTGTGACTGCAGCAGAAATTGCTATCAGGCGTAGCATTCATAATAACAACAGCAAAAACAGTCCCAAGGGAGACAGAACAGTCTTGGGGATTTGATTCAAAGTTTGTGGAATTAAGCAAGAAAACATCCACTGACTTCATCAGGCTCTGGACCAAGCCTTGGAAGAGAACATCAAAGGAATGATGCAGTTTTGCCAAACTTTTGTCATCTTGTCCTGGCTGTTTGCCCTAAGTTTCCTGCATAATCAGAAAGAAAGGATGGCTGTTTAGCATAGGATGAATTGTCTTTTTGATAGACCATCTTTCTCCACAGACTGTACAAAAAGCCTGGGTACAGGATGATATTGTCTGCCGATCTGTTGTTGCTGGGCATTATTCGTGTATAATGTTGTCAGAACTATAATTTGGGAGGATTACTCAGGACTGTGTATCTGGCACCAGGCATGCATATTCTTCTGTAGCTGTTCACTTTTTGGTCATAGTTTCCATGCGACCTAATTTGATTCACACTTTAGCAAAGCCTTTCTATGAGTATGCATATTCCAGGCTGATTTAGCCAGCGCAACGACTAATTTTTGTTGGCTAAATGGTGGTGGTATGAATTTTATTCCTAACTTTACACAACAGAGTTAAAATGAGGCTGTTTCTGAGTAAAAGTAAAAAATCCAGCTGGTGGAGAGATCATACAGATCGAGATGTCCCCCGCAAAGTGTAAGGGCAGCGCTCCACTTTACCTTCGCTCTTGCACTGGACAGTGTAATGGATGGGGATGTTGGTTTCCACAGGTTTCCAGACCACCTGCGCTCCATCCTCGTAGACCTCCACGATGTCAGGGGGTGGAGGGCTGGGAGGAACCTCTGTCGAGAGGAGGCACAAAACCCAGTGACTGTTAGCCGAAGCACTGCTGTGATACATACCTGTACACCTGGATTTTCTCAGTTATTGTTATTCTATTTGTATATATATGTATATTCTCCTAGTGGAGCAGCGATTTAACTGTGCCTATTTTAAACCCAATATTAAGATTTTGAAGTCTGTTTCTAGAACCACATGGCTACTGGAGTGGTTCTGAATCCAGGAAAGAGACTAAGCAGTGAAGGAGATGGCGAAATATGCCACGATACCAGACAGCAAGGGCTGTGGCTGTGGACTAGAGCAGGCAAGGGAGAGATTGTCCTCTGAACCTATCTGCAGAAATCTCACCTCACAGGTGAGATTTTTGGGCAGAAGTACTTGTAATACCTACTTCTGTATTACTGTGTATTGTAGTTATAATACTACAGTACACAATTGTAGTAATAATAATAATACTACTGTATTATTCTGTATTGTAGTACCTACTCTTCTCTTACCTGCTTTTCTTATGATGCAAGAGGTGGATGCTGAGCCCAGGGAGTTTGTGGCCACACAGGTGTAAATACCAAAATCGTCGGCACTAACAGAGAGAATAGTTAACAGCTGGAAGTTTTTGAGTGTGGCTGAGATGAGGATCCGGCTGCTGCTGCGGACAGGCATCCCATCTGAAAAGCAGAAGATAGGAGAGATAAGTACCCTGCAAATGTATACCAAGGTGACTAAAACCCTCCCTGCACCCCTGTCCCAGAGGCCAGGGACTCCCTAGGGGGATGCCAGTGTCACCTCTGAACCAGTCGACGTGCAGGGAGGAGTGAGCCGCCGTCCGGCACGACAGCGTCACGCACTGTCCCACGGCGGCAGCCTGGTCGATGAGCTCCTCAACGAACGAAGGTGCTGCAAAGAAGAGGACAAGCGGCGGTTCAGAGTGGCCGGGGGACTATGTGGATAACAAGTGCATGCAGGACACCAGGAAGCCTTTTTAATTGGTTCAAGAACATTTCTGGTTCATGCTCTGGCATTTCTTTGACCGCTGGGTGGAGAATGCCCTGGACATTGGGCACACACATGCAGGAGCCCCATTCAGCCCCATGGATGCAGTGTGACTGCTCATACATGATGGTCCAGATGGATCTTGGAAGGCCCATGAGGAACATCTGCATTGCCCAGCCCTGCTGGTATAGCTGAGGTAGCAGAAGGGCTCAGAGGAGAGATAAAGCATGTCACAGCAAGAGTTTTCTTCTGGCCTAGCTTAAATGTGAGGGCAAAACTAAATGGTGGTATTTCAAGGATGAGGGGATCAGGTCAAGACAACACAAGAAAAGAGAAGAAGAGATAAAACATGGATATGGAAGGAGAAAAAAAAAGCAACCACAGAGCATCAAATCTGCTGCCGTCTCCATGGGAAAGGGAGAGCCCAGGTTTTCTTCTGTGTTTCTCCAGGGTTTTTGCTCCGCAGTGCCCAGGAGCTGCCAGCCTCATGTACCTGCCCTTCACAGTGCTTGGCTGGGCTTTGCTGAATACTGGGGCGTGAACCTGACCTCAGAAAATGCTCCTGCAAGAGTCAAGGGGAAACTTGCCTGGGCAAAAGAAAGTTCAACTTTGCTGACACACCGTTTGGGGCTGCCCCACCATTTCTCATTTCATAGCTCTATAGCAGCGTCTCTGGCCCTTACACAAGCATGCAGGACTGGAGCCTAGGAATTCACAATTCCCTGCTTCTGCCATCCCACCCTTGGATACTCCATTTATTCTCTTTCTAGCTTACACATAGATTTTCATCCATGGCAGTGGCTTCCTAGAATGGCTCCAATTTGCAAGACAAGACAGTTTTAGCAAGGACATAAGTTATGACGTAAATAGAGGAGGCTGGCTCATATTGCATGAGGTGGTCCAGGTCATGTCAAGACAATCACTGCAGATCCATCCTTAGAAACTGGCCCCACACAGCACAGTCATATTCATTAGTGATACTTCATGATAAAACTAACTGATGACATATGAAATAGCAATACCTTTCTCCTTTGGCATGAGGCTTGATAACTTGAATGAAGAGAGTGCCGATTTCCTCTTCAGAGATCCTTCAGCCCCTGTTAACAGCTCTTTTTCTACTGCCTCACCTCCCAGCTCACCAAACTCTGTTTTGAGAAAGGATGAGAAGTCATTCATGGCCATGCTTCTCCCTGTGGCATCCATTTACAGCAGGCAGTTCTGCCGTTTGCACACAAATAGCTCAGCAGTCACAGGTCCCCTTATTAACGAGCCCTCGGTCAACAGGGATGGCTGTGATCGATAGCTATTACAAACAGAATGCTGTCCTGGAAGAACAAGCCATATCTTGGGATGAAGAAGGAGAAGAAAGGACAGATTCTGTTGTCCAGTGTCATCAACTTAGGTAGCCAGGGTGACTTCACCAACTTCTCCAGTCACTTTAGCTTTAAAGATGATAACTGCGGAAGAAACTGCAGCAAGCAAAGCTTCGTCAAGCTCCGATCTGCTTTTGTGCAAACTCAGACAGGGGAATTTAAGCCACTTCCATCAGCAGATTAACCCAGCTGACTCTGCACTGAAGTGAGCCGGTAAGAGAGCTAGTGGTGGGGCTGAAGACTGCTAATTTCATAACCTGCCAGTGCCAGTTTTGCAATGACGGTCTAACCACAGCCTCAGATATGATGGGGAAAAAGGAAAAGGCAGATTTAGCAGAGCCCAGTTATAGCAGCAAATCTATGAAGGCACAGAGTAAAATACTTACCTTCCTCTGGCTCAGGAGATGTCTTTCCTTTTAGGATTCTTGAAATATGGGCAACAGAAGCTTTTACTTTCTTCTTCAGACTCTGCTCCACCGATTGCTCCACTGAATGAGACCTTGCATACGGCTTAAGGAGTCCTGGCTTGTGGAAGGAACTTTTCTGCTTACCACTTGAGTCCTTTTGGGGGCCATACATTTCTTTATGACTCTCTGACCCTTTCCCCATGGCTAATAATTTAGTTGCCTTTGAATCCTCAGATATTTCCAAATGGTTCTTCCTCTTCTTGTCCTCTGCCTCTTCTCTGATGCACAGTCTTTTATCCTTATGCCAATGTCCTGCAGGAGGTGACCTTGCCCTTTCACCAAAAGGTATAAACCGTCTACCAGTTGGTTTAGGTGGAGGCTTCCTATAGTTCATAAATTCAAATGGAAAATAGACAATGTCATACAAGTCAGAGAAATTCAAATAGGCAGGCTCTACCTCTGATATGTCAAGTTTTGGAGTTCCACTGCCAAGACTGGGTGTTTCGTCCGACAGATCTTTGATTTTCACTAAAGAAACTTCTGGATGTTTACCAGTGTCCTTGCTCACTGACACTTGACTGAGTCTTTTTCCAGTGTCCAAGCTATCTGTTGAGGAAACACTCACTTGGCTAGAAGAAGGGGTCTCAAACGCTAAGTCCTCCAGATGTTCACATTCATGAGGAAATGTCTGTGCTCCCTGCCCTTCCAGTACCACTGACTCCTCACTCACAAGACAGGTTTCTGCAAGGTCATCCAGCTCAGAGACTTCTCTTTTACCCCCTTTTACAGAAGGGAAGGAGGCATCTGTGGGTGCTTGGCTACCTGGGCCTTTGTAGAACACCTCTGTGGGAGGAGAGATGTGCTTTCTGCATTCCTCCTCATCAGAAACAGACTCTGCCCAAATATTCATCTCTTCAGAGAGGGAAACCATCTCATCCACTAAGCCCTCCAGCACAGCAGACTCCTCATCACTGTAAAAAGAAGACCTGTGTTGTGAGAGCTCCTGACTTTGATCCCTGTGGAGCGATGATGGGACAGTTTTTCCAGCATCACAGCTTCCACTTTTTAAGGCAACGCCTCTACCCTCACCATAATCCTCTGGATGTTGCTCATATTCTAGCTCACAGACTGAAGCTGGCGCAACTTCTGGTTGTGAAGCAAAGACACCTGGAGGCCCACCCTCCAGATCAGCAGAAACTCTGCCACTGGGGTAGGCAGCCCTGTGCTGCTCAAACACCTGATGTCCAGCCTTGGGGAAAGGAGCAGGCATAGTCTGTCCAGATGCTCGGCTTCCACTTGCTGTCACAACAGATCTCGCCTCACTGTGAAGTGATGCCTTTGGATGTTCTTGCTTTTCACTCTCACAGACCGAAGGGAGGCCAGTATTTTGGGAGGACACGGTTCTAACCGGGTGTCTGCTCTCCAGAACAGTAGGCACTGTGCCACTCCCTTCACAAACCTTCTGGGCATCAGCTCCCTCGATTTCAGCCTCATGGGCCAAACTGGGAACAACCTCTGTGACAGATGAGCTTTCACTCCTCAGAGCACCGAGCCTCTCCTTGCTATGAACTGGCCGTTCCCTTTCAGCCTGCCGTGCTCCATCAGAGACCGAAGTCAGCACTGATTTTGGTGGTGGGACTTTTGGAACAAGATGCTCTCCCTTCAGGATGGCTGGTGCTGCATCTACGTGAACAGGAGCCCTCTTGTGCGTTTGGCATTCTCCATCATGAGCTGGCAAGGTAGCGATTCCTGTAATACCTGGTCCTTCATCCTCCAGGACAGCAGATCTCACCTCTTTGTAGGTCTTCAGCTTCTGATGAGCACCTTCATCAGCTGTGTGCAGAGCAGGCAGGGTACCCGGCAGTTTGCCCACCAAGACAGTAGTTGCTGGAACACTTTGACCAGGGAGTTCCTGACTTTTGTCTTTACATACTGGAAGTGAATCGGTTTCTGCTTGTGGGCCTGTTAAATTAGCAGAGCTTTCATGCTCCATGAGATCAGATTTGGCAACACTGTGAGCTGAAGTCTTCTCATGTGAATGTTTCTGCCTTTTGTCGTTCCAAGGTGGACCTGGGGCTGTCCTTTTGATAAGCAAGCTTCCACCTTTTAGATCTGGATGGATGTCGGTACTGTGAGCAGACTCCTGGGGCAGATACATGCCTCCCTTACTTGTAGGAGCTGACTTGGAGGTGGTCTCTGACTGTGCGAGAGTTGAAGTGGACTGTTTGCCCTCCTGAAAAGCAGTGTCAGAGGCACTCCCAGGGGAAGATTTGCCTTCCATGCTGTCATGTTTTTGAGCTGATGATGCAGTTACATCTGAGCACTGAGTAGTTAGAATGGGGCTTTTGCCTTCCAAATCTTCAAATTCCTCCTCAATGTAAGTAGCTTTTGACTTCTTCAGTAAATGTTTCCTATTCTCACTCCTATGAGGTGACACTGGAAGTCTCTCTAGCTGTTGCACAAAAACAGCTGGGCATCCGTTACCCTCACATTGTGTAGAAGTAGGAGGCTGCTCTTCTGAACGGACCTTGCTGGCTCTCCTGAAGTCCTCTTGCTTTGAAGTGTCTACAGAACATCCCTTGCCAGGCCCTGCAGGAATCTCACAGTGGTCACTGCCTTCAGGGCAACTTTCCTGCGACAATATATCACAGTCTTCTTCCAAAATGTCTTGTTCCCTCACTGATCTTGAGGCTCTCAGCCTGTAGTCATCCAGGGAACGGCTTCGGCTAGCACCAGCAATGGCAGGATGTGGTGGTTTCCTTGCAGTGTCAAACGAAGCTGATTTGGTCAAGGAACCAAGCAGACTTTCCCTGTGATCATCTCCATCATCAGACTTTCCTTCTTCTTCTTCCAGTTCGAACTGCTCAAGAAGGGGTTCACGGAGACCACTAAGGGGCACCTTCGAGTAGCCAGCTTTACGGAAAGTCCTTCTGGCTCTGTCCAGGTGCCTTCTGAAGTCCCTACCTGGTGAGGAAGGCCCCCTTGCAGGTAGCTCAGCTGCTTGGCTGTAGAAAGTGCTTTTAATAACACTCTGTCTTGGAACACAGACAGGTGCCTTTTCTGTCCCATCCCCAGCCTTTTCAGTTCTGTCCTTATCAGATAAAAATATGTCTGTTTTTTCCTTCTGACATAGATGCGACATGCTTTCTGTGGAAGTCTTCACTGATGAAGGCTCAGCAGCACCTCTTTTTTGGGACTGCTCTGCTCTTTCATCTTGAAGTCTGGGATGGGGCCCCTCCTCTTTTTCCTCTAAGGCAAAGGCACTTGCCATGAGCTCTTTGCTTTCTGTAGGTGATTTGTCCCCCACCTCAGCTTTCACTGAAGCATACTTCCTCCTCATAGGTTTTACTGGAGGGACTGAGATTTTGGAGTGCTTCTCTTCGCTTGCATGTTTTGGAGGCTCCTGATGGCTTGGTGCATCAAATATGGACAAGTGCAGTTCAGGTGTAGAGCCAAAATGACCCTTCTTGGGGAAATGTGAGTTCTCATTGTCTGAAGAGGAGCCGCTGGTACTGGACGAAGTGCTTTCTTCAATAAGATGTCGGGAGATGGCCAGGGAGGTGTTGTCATGAGTCCTTTCTAGGATTTCTGGGATAGACCGCATAACCAGTATGGATTTATAGCACATCAAAGACCGCTGAAAAGCAAAACAAAACGCAGCACAATCAGATGGAAACGTGGGAGTATGGCAAAGCAAGCATACCAAAGTGAACTTCTGCACTCTTAAATAGCACGTATACTAGTTTAATAACACTCTGCCACCCTTTTGTACATATCGTCAATCCAGGCCTCATTTGCTCTCCAAGTCTTCCTCTTCTCACATTCACAGAGGTGAAACTATATTGACTTTGGGGGACATACTTGCTGTTGTGAATGGGGAAGTAGGACCCTGCTTGACATTTTTCAAAGAAAATCTGGCCACTCAAAGGAGATGGAAAAGGAGTTTTTAGTGGAATACATCAGATGAGAGCCTAGCTGCAGTAAATGGCCTTAAATCCATTGACTGCAATATAACCTACAGTGACTTAGACCAACAGAACTCCATACTGTAGGAGGTAGGATTCATCTACTCTAACTTTTGCCATGTGAGACAGCTCAGGTGAAGTTGAGCAGCTGGCCTCCGCTTACAGCCAACAGAGAGAAACGGGCATCTTCAGAAGGCAATCTGATTATTTCAGAGAACTTCAGGGAAAGACAAAGGCAGCTGAGGGTGCCTAACTTAGACAGAACCGTGCATCTTACAGGCACCTGCGTTAGACGAGATGATTTCCAAGCAGTAAAAGCCTAGATAATTTATTTCTGCCACATCCATCGACCACTGTCTCCTGGGCTTATTCCCCATTCACAGCCAAGCTGAGACTTCTGCTGTGCTTGCTGTCCTAGCCTGATAGACTTTAAAAAAATGCAAATGTAATTAAAAACATATACAGCTAAAAAGAACCATTGTAGATTAAGGCCAACTCACCTGCCACTTGCTCCGAGCCACAATGAATTTGAGCTGCTTGGTATTAATGAAATGAGTCGCTTCAAGGGGGAGATTATGCTGCCAGGTGGAATGAGAGGAAAGTCATTGGTTAACAATATCCTGACTTCATTTCCTGAGAAGTTTTTTTTTTAGGATTCCCTCCTTCCAGAATTGTTTAATTTAGGAAAATTACAACAGACCAAATGCTATAATCCCTCAAGGCTAAATTGTAGACAATCTCAGCTTTTCAATGAAAAAAACAAGCCCCGTTCAACGCATGCCATTAAATTCCTTTGTTTGTTTGTTTGTTTGTTAATTTTTAGGTCTTCTCCTTAGCAATTTAAGGCATTGGAATATAAACCATATCTTTGGTCTGCATATCTGCTCATGTCAGTAGTAATCTTTATCTTTTGAAAGGAAAGGTATCTTGGCATGTAAACACCACTGTGTCTCCTCTTTCTGGAGAGCATGCCTGAGCTTCTCTGTAGGACAGATAGTAGGAGTCCAAGAGAAAAAATAAACCAACAAATAATATGAAGCAGCTTTAAGAGCCGCCCCTCCAAAGGTCTCTTCCAACCTCAATATTTTTAACGACTCTAATAAAAACCCAGGACAAACTTACCATGAACCACTTGTGGGAAAGGCAGTCTAAAGCACTAGGCCTGGCTCTGAGAAGAGAAAGGATCACCATTTTAGTAACAAGTCACTGCTAACAGCAACCACAAGATCTTCCTGAAGGCGCCTGCTTCATGTGGACACACACATACACTTTTGTGTATGTCCTTAGGCTGCTGTTTTAGAGCTGAGAAGCCAAACAGACAGACAGAGGCTTTCAACCCAAGGTTTCCTTCCCCTGAGGTGAAATGATCCTCTTTTTTGAGTCTGAGACTCCCTGCAGATCCTCAGGAAGACCCCATGGCACTCTGCAGAGAGCCTCTTCAAGGGCATCAAGAGCAGCCCTAAGAGTGACTTTGACTCGTTATGTGGCCAAAGCAAAAATAGCTTTGGCAGCAGGCAGAAAGAATAGAAACAAAATTAAAAACCAAGCGCCTGCAAACATGCCTTCAAGCTGCCTTTTGTACTTGAAATTGTTTAATGAATGTGGTTAATATTATTTAATTCTCGCATAACTCCCTCTATACTAGTCCTTGCTCTTCCCACTTCTCTATGTCATTTCAGAAGCTCATCTGCCCTGGAGGAGTCGGGGAGTAAGGACTCCATACTGTACCATACTTTCACCATACCAGAAACAGGCCAATTTGGCAAATTACCAAGCTGTGCTTTTGGGTAATGGGGAATTATAAAAAAGAATTAGGGCATAACGCACCACAGCTCACTCAGCTTTCCACTTTTCAAAACAGCGACAGCTCTGATGAGCTGAGAGCTGCCTGCTGAGACACCAACATCTTTGCATGCTGGTAGGAAGCACAAAAGTGCACTCACGTGGGGTGCTGCTGTAGGATCCCTTTGATGAAGTCCTTTGCATCTTCACTCAAGTGAACAAAATCAGGAATGGTCCATGAAATTTCCCCGTTCTGGATATTTAGAAGGGTTCCTCTGTCATTCTCCCCGGCAAATGGAGACTTGCACGTTAGGCTTATTTATTGAACACCATAAAATAAAAGGAGACAGACTTCAGGCTTTTATTTGCTGTTCAAATGACAGAAGCACAAATGCTTACATGGGGCTTTAAAATGCTTGAGGGACTCCATGCGTGGGACTTGCAAAGCTTGTGAGCAGCGCGTCCACTAACAGAGCATCTTTCACCCCAGCATTACATGGCACTTCACTTAATTGAATTATTTATCCCTGTTTCACAGATAAGAAATTAAGTGTTTGATTTTGCACAGCTACAGTAGGGTATTGGCTAAAACAGGCAAGGGGAAGACTAAACCTCATCCATGGCTCTCATCACTAACTGCAAGGGGAGCAACCATCAGGTCTTCAAGCAGAGACAGTGACCAAAGCCCTGGACAACCAGAAAATAGTGAATAAAGGAGAAAACCACAAAAAAATTTGCCCTTGATATAGAAGGACTCAATGCTTCACTCATATTCCTTACTTGAAGATACTGGAGTGCTCTGACTGACAAAGGGATATTAAATGAGTCTTTCCAAGAAGATTTATTTACCTTAAATACGTGATGACTCCAACAGCCCTGAAGGAGAGAGGGAACACAACTGTCAGGTGTTTGTCACTATTTCTCCATCCTTCTCAAGCACATAGCCCCTCTTACTGCCACTAGACACCCTGGCACAGTAAGATCACCTTCTCCTCACCTTTCCAAGGAAAATAAATCCCAAAAGCTATTGTTTTCACCCTTCAATTTTTTTCCCTTCAAGATTTAAAAAAATTGTTCTCAAGTAATCCTCCATTTTTAAAGCACAAAGAGAGGAGAAGACTCAAAATACTCTCGTAGAGTTTGTTTGCCTTTTCTAGAAAGCTGCTTAAAATCATCCTCCCTAGTTGCTGCCTCTAATAAAAATCATCTTGTCTAAGATGCTCCTTTGCATTAATTAGCTGTCAGAGTTCAATTATGGTTGAACAAAAGAGACAGAAGGAGCTTCAAAGAGCCCTGATGGTCTGGATTCTCAGTGTTCACTTTCAGTTTCCTGTGTTATTATCACCATTCCATTTACTTATTAGCAATAAGGGGAAATTCAGGCCATCTAGGGCGAAAGTTTTTAGAAAGACGACAGGTTACCAGATATCGGTTGCTTTCGACACTGGTGACTGAGAAACAATTTCTGGGGCAACGAACTCCGGAGACCCGTATTTGCTGAACTGAGGCTCAAAGGGTGTGATCTTCTGAGCGAATCCGAAGTCACAGAGCTTAAGGTCTTCCCTTTCAGGATAAACCATGAGGATATTCAGTGGCTAGTAAATGAAATAAAATAAAAGGGAGAAACTTTTCTTGAAAGCAGGCAATATTTTCAGTTGTAAGTAAGAATATTTCAAATAGAGAACGCCCATTCCTTGACCAACAAGAGGCTATGATAAGCTAGACTTGCCATTGCACATTACCTTAATGTCCAAATGAAGGACGTTGTTGTCATGAAGATATTTGATTCCTTCCAAAATTTGCTTGATATACAATTTGACCTAAAAATTAAATTAGTTATTAAACAATTATTAAACATGGATAGTAAATAAGAGGGTTCCTTATTCCACCAACATTTTTAATATAAGAGGGAGAGATTGAATTAGAAATACTTTTAAAATTAGAATGAATTTTTTATATTGGTCTTGCAGTTGAAGTAAGATGCGAACCAAACATTACCCTGTGGAATGAAGCTGTGCTTTGTGTGTGACCACATTGCCCTGCTGGAGCCTTCTATATGTGAAAAAGCCCTTACTTAAAAATAACAACCCTACAAACAGGCAGAAAAAGAGATACAGAAATCCTCAAGTTTGATGAACCTTATCAACTGTCTAACTTATCTAACTCAAACTCAGCTCTGGCTTGGTGTAAATCAGGCAAACACATTTAAAACACAAATACATTTTAAAACTCTGTTTTAAACCTGTTTTCTTGACCATATGTAGATCCAATCTGACTATGACTGAACAAGGAGTGAAGATTTACAGCTAGCTTTGGAATTGCTCTACCTTTGACATTTTATAGTGTTAGCTGACATTTGATCTTGATTTCTGCAGGAAATAAAAGAGAGAACTTGTAATGCTTGTAAGTCCCTTCCAACCCAAACCATTCTATGATTCTGTGATGTTTCCCTCTGAGTATTTCTAAGAAAAGCCAATTTTACCAATAATTATTGGACACCTGGCTACTAGATGGGAGACATGAACCATTTTGGACTTTGAACAGCAAGGATCTCAAAAAAACTCCTTAGAAACCATGATTTAAGCCCTTGGTTTGGAGACTGAAAGGGGGTGGATAGACGTACAGTTGCGAGGGGATAAAGCGTTATTAAGTGAAGTTACAGGAGCTCCAGGTGACAGCAAAGAAATTATGATAATAGATCAAATATCACCTGTATTAGGCTGGATGCAATGCGGGTGCTCAAAACCGCTGGCTGTTTCTAGTTATTTCCCAAAGAAACTCAACTGAGTAATGAAAGCTGATGGGAACACATTTTAAAGGCTGATTCTGTTTTGACAGATTGTCACTGGTTCAAAGACATTCCTCATATTCAAAAGCAAAATACAGCTGGAAGGTACTCGGGTGGTACCCACCAACTCTGGACTTCCAAATGAGAAAGATTACCTCTGCTTCAGTGACGACACTCTTCTTGAATAAACGGTCAAGGAGCTCTTCGCTGGAGCATCTGACAACAGCATTAAGGGAAAACAGAACTACAGTTAAATCACAGAATCATAGAATCGTTTGGGTTGGAAGGGACCTTAAAGATCATCTAGTTAGGGACACCTTCCACTAGACCAGGTTGCTCAAAGCTCCATCCAGCCTGGCCTTGAACACTTCCAGGGATGGGGCATCCACAACTTCTCTGGGCAGCCTGGGCAACCTAATGCTCATTTTTACTCTCTAACCACTTCTGTCCAGCTAACAGCAGAATTCATGAGGTGATCTCAGGCAACATGATGTGCAGATAATTAATTAAAGTCTCTACTGCAGCAGTGTCCTTCTTGCAGAACTGAGCTGCTCTAAACCTGTGCTCGCTGCAAGCAGGTGCATGGTATCGCTTGTGCTAAAATCTACCTGTTGGCTATGGGCTTTTCTGCTCTGCACTGCATTTTCCTGGTGCTCACCCAGGCTGGATCTCATGGAAACAGAGTCCTTTACTTCCAGACATTTCAGAAAAGAATTTTGGTGCTTAACAACTCATTCACACTTGTATATACAAGTATCATGTTTTTTCTTAAAACAGCAGAAACATAGTACTTCAGTGAAGATCTCACAGAACTATGCTATCCTGCCGTGCAGAGAGAGATTGTTCGTGTCCTTTTGTCTCAGGCAAAACCTAAAAATGGTTGATTGCTTAGTTATTTAATAAATGAGCTCTACCTAGTACTCCAAGCAGCACAGTAAAAGGATACAGCTCCAGAATCAAAATGAGTGTTTTCCGCGTTTCAAACTGATCCAGGAGCCTGGTAATTCTGTCATGGGACAGAGAGGCAAGAATCTCTCTCTCCTGATGCGCTCGAGCCTTTGTTTTGCTTCGTAGAGGTATGAATTTGGCAGCACAAGACACTCTGTTCCCTTTGTGTACAACTCGTTTCACAAAGCTGAAGCAGCCCCTGTGTAAAAATGAAAGGACAAACCCTGCTCAGACTTAGTTCAAAGCCCTCTGCACAGCAGGTGTAGACCTTTCCACGTCCCAGCCTTTGACAGCTGCCTACTGCTCAGGGCTTAAATTCTCCAACATAAGCTCATTTTCCTTTTTGTGAGGTGCTATTGCCCTCTCCTGGCTGTCTCCAAAACTAAGCAACGAGTTCACATCAGGGGAAAAGCTGATGAAAGGTGATACAGCCTTGTGCTGACAAAGGCTGATGCTCTCGGATCCCTTGGAGGGACACGGTGCTTGTGTGTACGTCGCCATGGGCTTGTGATGCTAACATTGCCAAGAAGCCATACCTGGGCACCTAACCTGCCAGCGTATTTTGGTGGTATTTTTTCTGGTTGGATCTACCTGGACCTATGGGCTGTATGGACTATCCCATCCTCTGTCAGAAACCTCAGGAAAGTGTTTCCAGCACACCTGCAATGAGGTCACCTCCCACTTCTGCCAGTACTTTCACCTTTTCAGAATTTTCCACAGCTAGGACTTTTCCACCTCTGCTTCTGGTTACACATGTTCAGCAGCTCAAGATGGGCAATTGGATATTCTCCGGCAGTGATGCTATGAAGTTAGAAAATTCATTTACCTTCCAATCTCCTGCTTAACCTCGTAAAGGGAATGGAGCTTTCTCCTGGTGGCCACTTTCTTTGCTACTTGGTCTTTCTTAGCTTTGGAAAGGGAAAGGAAAAAATATGAGTGTTACTATTCAGAGCACAATGCCGTGCTAATAGCATGCAAAGTTATTACAGGAGAATTTAAGGCAGGGAAAATTACAGGGTTCCTCTAAACTTCTGCACAGAATTAAGTGGAGCTCTTCAATGACAGAACCTGTCAATATGAATTTTATATATATATGTAGGTCATTAGATCATTTGCTCTTATACTGGATCCTGCCATACTGGTAATGTACGAATGCTACGCAGGAATACAGAGCAGATGCCATATGAGTAGCAGAAGACGACTGCAACAGAGTATGTATTGCACTGGCTATGGAAGGAATTCCTGCAGCTGAAAGAATGACATTACCCTCATGGACGATAAGCTCTGCTTTGCACAAAACCTCTCCTCCTGCATTTTTGGCAACACAGGTATAAACACCACCATCCTCCGAGACAGCATTGTCCACGACTAGGAAATACGTTGTTCCTTCCTTCCCTTGATGGAGCCTGTTGCTGTCTGTCAGCAATGAAGTACCCTGAAAGAATGAAAAGACATTTTGGCATTGAAAAAAACAAAGATGGAAACAGATGTTCCTTCTTTTCAAGAAATGAGACACAGGAGCAGAGCTACAACACAGACAATTTAGGCTAGCGAATCTCGCTGACAAAATGCTGGCTGAAGAAGTCCCCCATGTCTAACTCTTTCTCTGCTTCCACATTACCCAGTAACATTTCTGTTTCATAACCCATTCGTAGGAATACAGGCTTGGGAGGGATCACCAGGGCTATATATGAAACATCCATCTCTGAGCTGGTCCTTATTATGCTGGAGCAAAACTTTGAGTTACAGTAGATCACTCCATGCCAGCACCAGCGCAGTGCTTGGCAGCAGTCAAAAAGTACCAGATGTTAGAAATTATTAGGGAAGAAAAGAATAAATGACAGAAAGCATCATCTTATAAATCCTGTGTTTGCCCAGGGTGTAGTACTCTTGCAGCAATGTTCTTTCTGTAACAGCTTCCAGATGAGGATTGACTGGGCAAGTTGGGGCTCTTCAGCCTGGAAGGGAGGCTTTAGCAATATGACATGATAGGGCTGTAGAGAAGTATGAATCGCCTAGGGAGTGGGCAGGGATTAACTTTTCCTGGTACAAGAAATTAAGAACCGACACATGAAGCATGTGGTAAATATGTACAGAACAGCCGAAAAGAGGTGGCACTTCAGACAGCTTACTGTCCTTGGGTTGAACTCCTTGGCAAAGGACACTGTACATGTGAGACCTTGGCATGGGTGCCGGAGGAGACTAGATAAGCACGTGGAGAGCTTTACTGTGGGTTAGTAAATAGGTAAACGTTCAGCTAGTTGGCGATAACTCTGAGCCAAAAATGTCAGAGATTATTAATTATCAGGAATATTAACAGGATGTATCATATATTCTTGCCTTGTTCTTATTCTTTTTCAAGGTGTTCAGGTGTGTGCATGTGCATGTGTGCATCTGCTGGTATCAGCACTAGTGTGGCCAGCAGGAGTAGGGAAGTGATCGTGCCCCTGTACTCGGCACTGGTGAGGCCGCACCTTGGATACTGTGTTCAGTGTTGGGCCCCTCACTACAAGAAGGATGTTGAGGTGCTGGAGCGTGTCCAGAGAAGGGCAACGGAGCTGGTGAGGGGTCTGGAGCACAAGTCTGATGAGGAGCGGCTGAGGGAACTGGGGTTGTTCAGTCTGGAGAAGAGGAGGCTGAGGGGAGCCCTCATCGCTCTCTACAACTACCTGAAAGGGGGTTGTGGTGAGGTGGGGGTTGGTCTCTTCTCCCAAGTAACTAGTGATAGGACAAAAGGAAATGGCCTCAAGTTGCGCCAGGGGAGGTTTAGATTGGATATTACGAAAAATTTCTTCACTGAGAGGGTGGTCAGGCATTGGCACAGGCTGCCCAGGGAGGGGGTGGAGTCGCCATCTCTGGAAGTGTTCAAAAAACGTGTGGATGTGGCGCTTCAGGACATGGTTTAGGGGACATGGTGGCGCTGGATTAATGGTTGGACTTGATGATCTTGAAGGTCCTTTCCAACCTAGTGATTCTGTGATTCTGTGATGTATGCATATGCGTGGGAGGGGGTTCTTTGCATTTTTGCTTGTTTTTTGAAGTTATTTTAGTTTTCCAAAAGTAGCTCATCCTTGTACTTCCCATACAGAAAAAAAAAGGAGTAAAACCCGTATGTACAAAAATCTTAGTTTGACAGCAGCACTACAGACAATCATTATAGATCAACACTGGCTTATTTCAGGGGAACAACAATATTCTGAGGAATAAATATTTTTTCCTTCCTTTCTATGGGATATTCATTGTCCTTTGTCACTCATTTTACCAATTAGCTGCAGAAAAGATACAGTCTGGAAGTCACACTGACAATTGGAGTAAACCACTCTTAATCCTATCCCTGACCCCAAACCTACAACACACATCTTGGTGGCTCTCAGGTAGGAACCACTCTCCCTTCCTGCCCATCTTGGTGCCCAAAACCATCTTGGTTGCCCTCTCTGCAACAGGAGCCACAGTGGAGACAACACAGAGTAAGATGCGTGGTTGATGGTTCCAGCGAGAACAGCAGCTGGTTCAATAAAGTCTATAGATATGACCCAGAATCAGTGTAAGAGGTGTGGGGTGAAAGAGCAAAGGAAATTCTCCACAGAAGTACTGCACCACAGTCCTTTCTGTGGTCCTTGCTCTCAGCCAGAGAAAAGTCTGCACTTACCTTAAACCACAAAACAGTAGGCTGAGGGGTTCCTTCAATGACTGCCTGAAATTTGGCACGGTCCCCAGAATTCACCTGCACATCCTCTATTGTCACTTGCATATAGGGAGGACCTGGTGAGACACAAGGGTTTGCCACATGCACAATACCGTAACTTTATTCATAGTGAGCTGATGTAGGCTGAATTACTCAAATGGGAATTGTAAGACTGGCCATTTAGGATACAACATCAGCTTGACGTCAAATCAAGAGATATCACAGCAATATATTTGGGTTTCTTTGTAGTAGCATTACTTTTAGGCTTCTTATCTTCATGCTATCTGTTACTTTTTGTTTAATAGTTACCGCTCAAGAAACTGAAGTCTTTTTAAAAAACAGTCATCAGGAGTTATTACCAAAAGAGAAGACAATGACAATCATGGGATGTGGGAAAGGGAAACAAGGTTCGTTCTTACTTGTTGGGGTCTTCTCCTCAGTCTTATACACACAAGTTCTTTCCGTGGTCTCAATATAAACTTCACTCTGTACATCCCAGACCACATCTCCTTCTCTTCTGTACCAGTCTCCTGCCCCTGTGGCTGGTGATGTTCTTTTATGAAGCCCAAGAGAAAAGATCATTACATAGTCACATATAACTACAGAGATGCAGGATTACACCCTGCCATTGTTCTGTGTGTTTAACCATCAGGCAAATAATTATTTACTTAAAATTAATACCAGAAGAATTTTGTTTTGGGAGAATTAATTTCTCTCTGACTTTTTCTATCCTTTTTGCACAATATATGTATGAACAGGATTCTAAAATTAGTTACAGACCTACAAGAATCAGTTCAAGTCAGAACTTTCTTCCTCCACCACAGAGGTCTTGCTTTCCTTGCAACAAAGTCTGCCACATTCAGAAATCTGTATATTGAGATGGGGATTTACCTGGTAATAGGAACAGTACGTTCCTGAGTGCTTTCATCTCCAACAGCTGTCTCTTCGTGGGAAGGACCAGGGCTGGGCTTTGGCACACTTGGTTCTTCAGCTGGAATCTGCCTTTGTGCTTTGTCTGGCAGCAGAAATAGGGCAAGTTAGACACGTCACCTATGATGGCACACCTGAAACCCAGAGCAAATCTTTGGAGCCATCCCTAGTCAGCCTTGTGTCAGAACTGAGTCTGTCTGACCTCAGCTGAGTGCAATCACCGAAGCTAAGAGGAGAATTTGTCCCTCTTGAGGAGACCCCATGAAGCTAAGGGCTTGAATAACATCAGAGAGACTGAACGGTGACACATTGCTGACTGGGCAAAACTAACTGTTCTGTAAGAAAACACACACACAAAAATAGGAAAGGCAGACAATAGGGACAAGAAGAAATAGGATGACTGGAAGGATAGCGTGAATTCAATACATCCTTTAATAGGACATAATTTAACTGTGTCTGAGTTCCAGCTCATGGCTATGATGATATCATAGAAATATAAAATCATTTATGTTGGAAAAGACCCTTAAGATCATCGAGTCCAACCATTAACCTAACACTACGAAGTCCACCACTAAGCCATGTCCCTAAGCACCATGTCTACACAACTTTTAAATATCTCCAGTGATGCCCAGCGTTAGCTTTGTACACATAAATGCTTCAAATATACTTTGTTATGAGGACAGTTCTTGACTCACTGGTGCAATCACAGACAGCATCACTGAAATGAGTAAGCTTACATCAATGAAAAACTGGTGGTCAAGGCAGGCCCTGGCTGGGGGTACAACTAATATGGAGATAATATGGAGGTGTGCTAATATGCAGGACCTGGTGATGTTATAACGTCAGCATTGGTGCACGTCCACTGAGTTCTTTGAAAATGTCCTCGCACAACTCTAAGTTACACCAGAACAAGTTTTGGCATCTGGGTCTTGTAGGAACAAGGAAACAAAAAGATGGTGAACTCAATGGCAGTTCAGGTATTGTTCTTTTATTACTAATTATTTTACCAGATATATCTTCAAAAACTGCTTTAATAGTCCATTCCAAAAGTACCTGATTGTCTTTTGATATCAACCACTGGAGTTGCCCCAGAGGGTAAAGTACATCATCTCCTTTTTCATCTGAGGAGAAAAGTTTAAATCAAGAAGAGTCTTCTCCCCAGCAGGAAAGGCCTTTTTGGGGAGAACTCTAGGGATGTTTGGTGCTGGCTGGTTTTGGAAAAAAGCAGCAGTTTCTAGAAATGACATAAAACAGCTCTACTGGGATGGAAAACATGGTTATTCAAGGCATTACTGGCAGGGTCAGTGATCCCAGGTTGGTGGGACTGTGCTTTCCTATTGCCAGCACTACTGAAATATTTGCCTTCTTTTTAGTCAAAGCATGTGATCATAGGGACAGTTGTCAAGTGTCCATTTTATTAAAATAATTCCCCATATTAACAACATATTTAGTTTCCTCAGATAAAAGGACTGCAAAGCCCTCATTCACTGTTCTATTATCTCTGTAGTCATGACTAAGAAAATAATCTGCTATCGACATTTTACTTATGATTTTTGAGTCATCCTGCTTCACCAGAGGATTATTTTCACAGATGTTTTCCTACTACAAAGGAAAAAAGGTTTTAAAGCCCTGTCAGATTTTTATGCAGTTACTTTGGGTCTGATTCCATGAAACGTTTCTATCCTTGTTAAGTCTTAGACATTAATATCTTTTTTTTTCTAAACAGCATCTGGAGTTTGAGGGCTGAAGGCTAGTTGACATTGTTCTTTTAAGTTAACACTGGTGGAAGACAGTTACTCTGACGACATAGAGACAGCTTAGACAGGTTGCTGAGGCAGAAGCAGAAGGAAGAGTAGAAGGATTGCCACTTACTCATGTTTTTTTTAAAAAAACAACACAAAGACAAAAGACTTGTTCTCCTGGCAAAACACAGTCACACACATCATTGGTTACACAAGGAAACTGCTAAGGAGTCTATCAAGACCCCAAAGCAGGTGAAATGCAGGTGCACTTGGTGCACTCAACATCCTAGAAAGTCTCTGACACTTGATACAGGGGTGTTAAACACATTTCCAGCTTGTTTATGGCAAACAATAAAAGAAAAGCAACCTCCCTTCCCACCCCACTAAATCAAAAAACAAATTACTTCTATAAATGTAAAGGAGGGATTCCACCCCCTTTTCTCACCCAAAAAAACTTGAAGCAAGTCCCGGGTCAAAAGCCCAAAGGTGGAAAACGTCCCCTGTCCCTCCATTTTGGGCATGTGATGAACCAAACTCTACTTCAGACACAGTTTTCAAATGCCTCCTGTTTCCAGAAAGATCTGCCCCAAACTTGTGTCCAACCCAACACCGACCCACAGCCCTATGTTTCTTTGAGTCTGAATGTCCTCTCTTAATTTTCAACTACTCAAAACACAATGAAAGAGAAAAATGAGGGAAAAAACACGATTATTGGCGTGTTCAATATCTTCGTCTCTCTTGACTCTCATGGGACATTTTCCAGATTCATGCCAAACCTACCATGCCCTCCAGCAGTCCGGGTTTGGGTACTGGCTTCATGAACTAGCACAGAGAGCCCAGATGCTGTTTCTGAGCGGTCTGAAGGAATGGACCCAGGAAGGCTAAGGTCACCAGCTCCTTCTCGCATGCCTGGGGGAAGAGTCACCAGCAGTGACGCCGAGTCCACAAGTTTCTTTAGAGCTGTCTTGATCTCCTTATCAGCACGCTGAAGTGAAGCCTGGACAGAAGTCTCCATCTCTGACTGTGGGGAACTCATTCCTATAGACAAGAAGAACAGCTTTTCTCTCTTCAGGGTAAAAAGAAAATAGCAGCATCATTCAACACATGGAAATATTTACAGTCGTATCATTTTCCCCTCCTAGAGCAGAGAGCTGATGCAGAAATGCTTATGCCAGCAAGGGGGAATGTAGCTAGGATTTAAAACAAGAAGGTTGGCACAACTCTCTTTGGAAAGTTGTATCTCACCTGGTTGAGGACACTGTGCCACACTGCACACACACACACGGCCTTTCCCCAGACAGCAGAACAAAGGATCCATCTCCCAACTCAACCCTGCATTGGCTCGTCTATCAAAAATACCTTCATTAAGATCAATGACATGAAGCCAGTGGTGGTCCATTGCTCTGATAGAGGCCCTGTGTGCAAGGAGGATGTTACTCTCACAGGGAAGGGGAAGGAGTGAGCAGCTACCAGCCTCATTGGTGACTCTGGAGAAGGGCAAGGAAAAGAAAGGAGGGTTGTTCTGCTTCATGAGTCTGTAAGTCTGAGAGGATGGCAGAAAAGCTACTCCCTGCTCTAAAGTAATGTATTTGTCCTACTTTACAATATCCAAATATTTTTGCTGGGCTTTGCACTAGAAGGTACCTGAGACTTTTAAATTTGTGCTGGACTGTGCCTTTGCAAGATACTCTAGAAGCAAAGTCACCTGGTCCGTATAGTAATGCCCAGCAGTTGTGTAGAGCGAAGCATTGTACAGAGGAAGACAGAACTCCTGCCTCCAGAAACTCACGGTCTTGAAGGCAGAGAGAAGACAAAACCTTTCCACACAGAAAAAAATTGATTTTCAAGCATACGTCTTTGCAGAATGGCCACCCAGGAGACAAGTACCATGGTCACATCACCAGCCAGCACTGGCAGAAGAAGCTAGGCTAGGATGGGATCACATAAGGACCTCAGGAGCTCATCTCATCCAATCTCCTGCACCATACACCTTCCAAAAATCTTGAAGAGGCATAACAAAGGGACAGATAATATTTAGGGAAACCCTAAAGTAATCATAAAAACAGACAAAACGCATGCCAGATTAAGACAATTCATCATGTTCATGATGTGGTTGCTTGCCAAGCAAGAGTGCAAACTCGAACCATCATGTAGTTCAAGAGAAAAACGAGCACTTGCACAGAAACGACCCTGACTTGTTTAATGTCATTGACACAGGGGCATGTCCTGGAGCTCTTTCGATGCTGCTCCTTTCCCAGCCTTAAGAAAGTAAATTGCCGTCATAGACCTTAGCAGGTAAAGTTGAAGGCTACGTTTGGGTCAGCCCCCTCTGAAGATATCTCACTTGATTTTTGTTTTCAGTGTCCTCCCTGTGAGCATGATGGTTATGAAATATTTCAGTTCTGTGTTTGATGATAGAAAAAGCAAGTTTGGCTCACACAATGTCCCAGTCTGCCCATCGGTGTTCATCAGCACTGGGACAGGTGGAAGATCTTTAAATATTTTCCTAGATAAATATTTTGATTCTCTGGTATTCCTGTTGTGATTGCTGCCAACTGGTACTGTCCTACATGCTGGGCAGCTGCCAACAGGTGAACTGTTCAGAAAGGCATGAAACCGTCTCAGTATCTTTCAATGAGAAAACATATTCACAACATGTGTACAGGTTATATATAACCACAGGTCTCCCCCATGCTCCTAATGCCACCATTTTCCTCCCTTTTAGGGATGTTACACACTATGATTCAAGCTGCTGACCTGAGAAACGTTAAAATTAGCTGAGGTGCATCAAACTAATGCCGCAGTGATGACACGCCTGCGATGGACAGCCTGTTTCCCCGTTCTAAGATCTCACCCATGAACCTTTCTGCCCCACATCTCCTTCAGCCAATAACCAGGAACACAAGACTGACACATACTTTGAAGTCTCAATTCAGTCTCAGAGAAGGACCCAAGAAGATGAGCATCATTCAAAATTATTGACTCATAGATCTGAGTTGGAAGTATCCCTACAATCAGGTACTTGCACTTCAACATTTCTGAAACTGTCCATAAAAATGGGAACCAGAGCCCAGCTGCATTAATGTTCTTCGGTTGCAACCCAGCTCCTGTTGAAGTCAATGGGAGAAGTGGATGAGCTGATGGACTTGTCAAGAGCCGTGAACACAGAAGAACACAGAAACCCAGTGAGTTCAGTGACAGCTGATGCAAGACATTTATTGATATAAACTCAGCATCTAACAGCATATCTTGCATGTGATTTTTTTTGGTGTGTTTTCTTTCTTTTTGTACCTCAAGCAAACTGAAGTTTCCACTTTATTATTACCCATTTACCTGCAGGAATTTTAGTATAACATTCTTTGTATTAAAATTTTTAATACAGCTGTATGCTTTCATCTAGAAGAAATAAACCCCCACACATCTCATTAGTTATCTACATAGTTTAATCACTTACAAGCATAATTTTTAAACTCTAGGAAAATATTTTGAAAGTATATGTAATGAACTTTTCATAAACCTTTCATTTTTTGAACTGAGTCCTGCATAGGATTTAAAAAAATTCCTTTCAATTGATTATCTTTTGCTTAAAGATAATCAAAAATCTTTTCAAAAGAAAATGTAAACAGATGTTAGTTGCTTTGAGCTAATGGATCAAAGTACAGTTATGTCTGCTACGACCATCTGAACTGCAACCTTTTAGTTTCTGTAGAAAAACCTGAGCATCAACCACAACAGGAGGAAAGGAAACCTCCACATTCCTTTACACATCTTTATTATCTTTTGGATGAATATTGTATTTTTGAAGACTATCATAGAGCAAATTCTTTTCTCAGCAGTATCTTTGTAAATCTGAATCAAATCCACTTCTTTTTGTGGAATTATTCTAGACTGATACTGGAATAACTGAGATCAGAATCAGGCCCAATATGACAGAAATATCTTTAGTTTCGAAAGTATTTCCCTGTTGTATGTCTGTTACTTTCCAACGTACAGTGCAATATATGAAAAAAGCACTACTATATATCCATCGTATTGCTTAATTATAAAACAAACAGTATAAACCAAGGAGATGTTATAAAAAATGGGAGAGTAACATAAAAGAGGCTTGATTTCTTTCACCACATGTGATCACTGGAAAAGCATCCTATATCATGAGGGTAGTGCACATGATATTATTACACATAACATCCTGATTGAATATTGAAAGTAAAAGGCTGTGAAATCAGTATGTTCATTTTAGTCAGCACATGATCAAGGTGCAGCCACAGAAGGAAACAAATAATGTATTCTTTTCTACAAGCACCTTATGTGAATTCAGTCCCTGTCAGCAG